CTTGTTGATCAGAAAACCGGAAACTGGATCTCCCACATTTCAGCAATTGCTTTTTTGTATATTAACTGGTTGACAGACCATTCATTAAATAACCAATCCGCTATAGTTTTGCGCTTAAACTCCGAACAAATTCACTTATTCTGCATTTTGGCCACCAACTTCATCTTTTTATGCCTGAAATGCATTTTATCCGTTTGAATACACCAGGAAGAACGTTTTGGAATTTTTATTGTGCTCCTCCTCCTCTCTCCCCCCTCCCCCTTCCGCCCTCCAAAATAAAAAATAAAAAAAAGCAGCAAATTCGGGATGAACCGGGAAAACACAACGAGTTCGGGATTAAATGAATCCTGCGGCTCAGAGTGTTTTGTAGGTTTATTACAGTTTGATTGCAATGTGTTGTTTTAGTTTTCTTGGAAATTCATTGAAAACTAAGCTGAAGTTGCTACGAGGGATAACTGCGAATAATTGCCATCGGGAGAAATTGTGCGATAAAATGCTTCTATGTTATAATTTGTCGATAATTGTCTCCTTTTTGTGCGTTTTTTGCTCTGCAACAGCTGCACAAAACACATATTGTCACGGGATTGTCTGTGTGTGTATGTGTGTGTGTGTGTGTGTGTGTGTGTGTGAATGTGTATACGTGTGTGTTTGTGTGTTCGATACAACTTGTTTTTAACTGCCAAATATATTTTCTGTGTGTGTGTTTGTTTGTTTGTATGTGTGCGTGTGAATATATGTATGTGTGTGAATGTATGTATGTGCGTGCGTGTGTGTGTGTGGGTGTGAATGCGTGTATGATGTATGTGTGTCCGTCCGATGCATCTTGTTTTTTAACTGCCAAGTCAAGCGGTCAGTTTTTGAGCCTCTTCATTTATGTGTTTTTAGGCCTCAATGATTTGCTGAGAAGCACCGAAATAGTCTGCAAAGCACAGCTGCGTAATTTGGATTTAAAAACGCCGGTTGATGAAGAAAGTTTGAGGCAAATCTTGTTCGGTATCAAGAGGCGAATGGATCTACTGGACTGCCGGCATTTCTCATATCTCATCGTACCAAAATTTGCGAACAAGGTTCCTAAGCGGTTTTTTTTGATTCAAAAAAACTAGCTTTTTTTTGTTATTGTGACTTTACAGCCCAGTAGTGCTACTACTGAGGGTTTCTTTGCGAATTTTTTTTTCAATGAAAATTCACTAAAATGTTTTTTCTCTTTTTTTTACAATCTGTTTATCTGTGCAAAGCGTTTTGTGTTATTTTCCAGAATGGCTATGCAGTCCGGGATGTTGGCCAGTTGAATGTTCTTTTAACACGTCTCGTGGATATGCTGGAATCATCAAAATGTAAAGAAGTGACTGCATCTCTCATCGATTTCTTTTTCGATGCTCTTGTACATGTAAGTTTTTTATGCGTTTTTCACAGCTATGCCATGCAGAAAACGCATATTGACGAGGGGTTGTGTGTGTGTGTGCGTGCGTGCGTGTGTGCTGAGCGTCTGTACCGATTTTTCATCTCGAAACCCACAAAAGCTACAGGGCTGAAACTTGGAGACTTAATCTGCATGCATGTACGGGCCACCAGCTCTGAAATGGGCACTCTTACCCGCGTGGCACCCACGTAAGAGTCCGCCAAAATTTTTTGCAGGCAACTTGCTAACTCGGGAGTCAGTGAAGCTAGAAAGTTGAAATTTTAAGCGCATTTTCCCCGTTCAAGTAGGTATTAATGAGTTCAAAACCAGCGCGCGGGTATGCATGGTACCCTCGTGCGGGCCGCCCAAATTTTTTTCGGGTAAGTTGCTAACTCGGGAACCTGAGAATCTAAAAGGCTGAATTTTAATGGGATGTTCCCTGTCAACGCAAGTCTCAGTGAGCTCAAATCCAGCCTCCGAGTATGCGTGCTACCCACGTACGGGCTCGTGAAAGTTTTTTTCGGGCAAGCTGCTAACTCGGGAACCAGGAAAACTAGAAAGCTAAAATTTTAAGGGGTGCTTTTTGACAATTCTGATGGCCAGTCTTTTTTTGTTTAGCTAAAAGCATTTGCGGGAAAAATCGGTGCCGATAGCCACAAAAACTGTGGGGAACTATGCAAAAAACACATCTTCGCACGGACAGTGCGTGCGTTGGCCAATTATTTAAGATTGCTGACCTTACTTACTTGATACGGTGTTTCCATCACTGACGCGCTGTTGATCTTCTCCAGTGACTACTGAGCCAACAACCACGCCACCGAGTTCTGTCCTGAGCTCGCCTCATCTACAATATTCCATATAATCGAGTTAGCGGATCGGACCAGCGCATCAGTGGCTTTTCTACTGGCCTTTTTACGTGTTGTGGGCACCAGTCGATAACGCTTTTCGTCCTTCTCCAAGATTGCTGGCTATAACTAGTTGTAAACGTGCCTTAAGGTACTTCTACGCAGGGACTGATATTTAGTTCGTATTTCACAATCGCTTTCTCTAGGCGTTCGTTCTTAACCAGGCACTGTGAGAAACAAGACCAGTGCTGCGGCTGCAGTGCTTAGATTATGTCTTGCTTCTGCTTCCTCTTAATATGATAATCTCAGTTTTCTGGACCTATTGAATGGGAAAATAAAGATTCAGTTTTTTTTTTTTGATTTTTGGAGCATTTTTTTGTCCCGCTTCCCTTTTTCTCGCCAATTTTTTCATTTTTTAACAAATTTCTGATCTTATTGAAATGTATACTTCCAATCCTGGAACTGACGAGAAATTTTGCTGCCTTTTGGGGCTTTTTTAGATGGCTGGCTACAAACTCTTTATAGGCTGTTATAGCTGTGAAAAAAATGAGTCAAGTGCGATAGCAACCTTGCCTTTTTTACCAGTGAAAAAGCAGTCAGATCTGGAAAAATAGTGAAAAAAATAAATGTAAAAAAATAAGATAAATTTCTAACTTGATTTGTAGCCTGATCGGGAACAGTTTGGGTTTTTTTTTTGGATCTTGCCTGAATATCAAAAAAGCTTCTTTCTGTTTTTCAGTTTGTGAATCAGCACGGCAAAGAGCAGGAGATGGCGTTTGCTCGAGTGCTGCCTCTGATCACGGACAGCTTCCACAGTCTGTCCAAAAGTGGTTTCGATTCACCGATCCAGAACATATTGTGCTCAACTGAGCTGCATCAACTTTCCATGCATGTCTTTTCACTCCCAGCTGTTGCGTGATTCCCGTTTTTTTTTTTGAAATAGGCGAAGTGTTTTTTTTTTGCACGAAATTTTATGTCTTTTAAATATTGAAATTTGAAGCATTGCTGGATTTTTCATTTTCTTTGCCTTCTGCACTATCCTCTTCATTTTCTCCTTCCTCCGAGTAGGCTATTCTTGCCTTTTGGGGGAAAAAAGGGGGTTAAATCGTTGTGTTTTTTTCTTGGCATGACATATTTTGCATTGATCGCACTTGTCAGTGTCACGGTTATCGGTTTTTGTAAATTAAGTCGAACCGCAAAATTGGTTTTACCCACAAGAAGTTGCGTTCTGTCAGCTTTGAAAATTCGTTTTTTCAATCGATCCAGTGATTTTATAAAATTAGAGGAATCTTGGAATCCTTCCTGGTGATTGTGCTGAGCTGACATGAATTTGGTTGTTGTTTTTATTGTTGGTGGTAGTGGGTTTTTTTTTTTATAATTACGATTTCACTGTTTCATTTTGTTTGAGAATATCTAGATTAGGTGTATCTAGTGGGAAAAGCAATCTCTTTTTAATAAAATGGGATTGATTTTTGGCAGGGAATTAATTGA